AATTCTGAAATGATTAAGTCATGTGTGTGTGCGATTGTGTGTCTGCTGTGTAGTGTTTGTTATTGAGATTCTCCTGCTCGCATAAATGAAGATAAATGAAGATATCAATTTCGAATTCGGTAGAACATTGGAAGTTTTTGCACGCGGATTGGTATTGAAAATATGCAAAATTGATCAGAGCAGAAGCGCACAGTGGAGCATAAACTGAACCGTTTTTCTTAACAAAAATGTTGTTTTTGTCGGTTTTTGCTGGTTACTCCGCACTTATAAAAGTTACAAGGTTGACATTTCCCACATTTACTTTACTAAATATTCCACCCTCTACGTGCGAAATTAAAAAAAACACACACAAAATTAGAAGGGAATAAGTTTTATTTTTTCGCTTTTTGAGGGTTTATGCTTATTTATCAAGGACAAACAAGACAGGATGTTTAAAATTATTTTGTACATTCCTCAGTAAAGAAGAGCTATCTGCCTAAAAGTAGGTAAATTCTGAAATGAATACGGTAAACATCAAGAGTTAGTGCATTAATTTTTTTTTAATAATACCAGCAATACGATTATCAGGTAAAAGCGCTTGCAGAGTAGAACGCGGAAATCTAAATGTGTTGATTCATAAGTAATTATGATGGACGTTACGATGATGGTAGATTAATTTTTTTAACAATATTTATAGTTAAGTAACAGGGGAAATATAAACACTTTATCCTGTTCACTTTTTTAGAAATTAATGGTGGTGGAAATACGAGATTCGACCCCATCCGAATATAAGTTTCTTAGTTGTTAAAACATTCTTTAAAAATCTTACTTTTTTATTATCTTACTATAACTTTGTTCACTCTTTAATTTACCACCTAGTCGGACAAACAAGAAGACTCACAAAAAGACAAATGTGTTTATATACGTAACAAAATACTAGCCGTATAATCGGGACATTTCGGCTCATGTTCAAGTCCAGCATCCAACTAACTACAGACCGCTGAACTTACTCTCTTGTTTTACTGTATCGTTAAATGTCTACATCTGTCAACGGCTTAGTGAGCGCGGTTATAAGAGGAAGAGATATGCTTACAGCAAAACCATTATTGCAATGTACGGACGGACTTGAGCTTGACCTTGAAACTAAACAGAAGCCTTTAACCTTAAACTCGCTCGTGTAAGTTATTCTCTAGGCTTGGGCGCGTTTTAACCACTCTATCCGAACTATACAAAAAACTTTATGTTAAACTTTTCTCTGATATATGCTATGCACATTAAAGCGTTTAAACACACCTCTCATCTAAGTACTTCTCCAAACATTAACAAATAAGCGTTAATTTGTATGAGTATATATTCGACAACATTATAGAATCTCGGAAACTCCCTAACGAGCTCCTGGAAACCTTAACGCCAGCATCCTATAAATTATACTAGTAAATTCCCGCCTAACATTAAAAATGACGTATTGTAACTGAAAACATGAAGGTTCCTTTAATTTGTTTTGCAGTTGATGTCTCGCTGTAATGGCTCCGCTTAATATGTTTCAACAATAACTTTTTTCTAAGACCTAAATATATGCTCAATACTTGAATATAGCTATTCTATTGCCTTCTCTACCAAACAAAAAAATTGTCAACCATTTTTCCAGACCATCACTCTGCCTTCCCTCTTCAAGCTCATCGCTGCATGGAAAACTAATCATATGGACACAAAAGTATTTTTTTTTGCTTTTGAAAGTAAATGCATAGAGGAAAAAATAGGTCTTCTCTACTTACATGCATTGTTGTAGGTGTGCATAAAGACAGTATGTGATGCGCTATGTCGTGCATAAATGATGTATAGGCCTATAAACTGCTGTTCAGATTAGTTAATAATTAGATGTTGAACGCTTAAAAGCTTTTTACTTTCATAAAGACAACGTATTAAATCTCAGCAAGGGCGTGTATATCCAGGGCAAGCATCAAAAAAATATACTGTCATGTTCTAACACAATTATAATAACGCTGCTGTAAATTATGCTTAATATTATCGCTCCTTTACTTTTCTTGTTACCTCCATTAACCAGAATACTGACAAAACCAACAATCAGAATAGTAACGTCGGCATTAACAAAAAAATCAGTACTACCTAAATAACAAGGATGTACGATGGACATTCGCTCAGTCGAATGCATTTCATAATGAACTAAGTATTACCCATTGTTAACACACTGTTGGTGCATATGCGTGCATGTCTACGTAGTTCTTATTTCTAGAAGAATTCACAAAGAATTCTGCTTATATTTTCGTTATGCGTCTGACATGCGTGAAAAGTTCATTACGGTCATCAATTGCACACAAACACTTTTATTTATTAAATCTTGATTTTATACAGGCAATCAACGTCAGATGACGTATGAAAACAAAATTAAAACCATCTCTTTCTATTCGTCTTCAACACGGGGTTTAAGTTAAAGTGCCTAAATACCGTAGCATCAAAATGTGCTCAATAGTTATCACGAGTTTTTACGCTTATGCTACTCGACAGTCAATAATTGTAGTGCAGATAGTGCGGCCAAATATCACTTGCTTTCCAAAAAATGCAAATTTCGTAGTTAGTTTAGCTCACAGTGAACCTAAACATTCGAACTGTTATCATCTATTCATATATATATTTATAAAATATACTTATACAGTACTTTGTAGCCATGTAAACAATAATAAATGCGGGTCTTCAAATCTGAAGTGTGGAAGCACATGGCACATGCATTGTGTTTGTATAGGATTATTTTGGAATTTGTGTCAAGAAAACAGCATTTTCGGTCAGAATTTGTTTTTTTTTCTTCCTTGAACAATACAGAAAAAAATCGCCTTTGCATCGCATCGTTAGATAGTGATAATAGTTTTTTTTTTGACAACTTCTTGCGTAAAAAGCCATGGGTGCACCCAGTCCACATCGACAGGAAAACTAAATTAATCGGCAGGAAGACGATCGCTGTATTTCGGCGGATCATAAAGGAGTGACTTATAATGAGTAGCACAGGCGCGATACAACGTTTCATTACAACCTCTGCCAACAAGTGATCAAATTAAACTGCTTGTTATAAAAAAAACTATAAGAAAACCAAAGCAGACACCAAAAATTGCCTTTTTAAGATGACATCCACCCATCCACCCACCAACCCATCCATATGGCAAAATCGAAAATGCTCAATTTGGAAATGTTGGTTCTCGTGGCTTAATCAGCTGCCGCGCTTCCTTTCAGTTACCATTTGTTTGCATAAATGGATCATGCCCTTGTTGAGCAATTCATACAAACATATAAAAAAAAAAATAGCCCAAAGCTCTTGAAAATGTATACGTATCTTGAACACGCGTATACTATATTCCTTAATGTAATCTACTTTCTACTAGGTCGCCAAACAAGCTATGTTTGGGTACTAAGCGTTTTTGGAAAGTCCCCTTCCTTTGCCAACTCCTTCGAACATTTTCCTCACCTAGCCCGCTTCAAGCTTATGCGCGATGGCAATAAACGACAGCACAGGAAACATTCGCTTTTGGAGCCAAAAACCCACTATTGTTACCTAAACAAAATTAAAATGTTTACCATGTTAAAAGCGTAAACAGTAGCTCCCAGGGAAATATTAAATGATGTCATTATAAATTTTACTTTGTTTGATGAAATAAAAGAGTTCCTTAAGTTTGACGAAAAAGTTTCTTCTTTAACCATAAAATGTTTTCGAAATATATAGAAATTGAAATTGGAATTTTCAATAACGTTTCTTGTTCTCATTGCTTTCCCTCCTTTTCACCCATAATGTCCGTTTTTCATTGCCAAAGTTTTTTCGCAATTTTGCAGTGAGTGGAATATTGAGCGTCAGACATCCAATTCCAACACGCCTACACGCTGCCTTAAGAAAAATGCAAGTGCCTCAGATCATCTTCATAACAATTCACTTACAACTTATAGCTCGCATATATATAAAACAATTCCTCTTAAAACAAGTGCTTTTGCAGGTGGTTGTCAAATCGTACGCCATTTCCTTAAAAAAATCATATATATATGAATATATGCGAATAAATCGGAAATTAAATAAAAGTAAATAGTTCGACAGAGATAAATTCAAAGCAACAAATAGGTGTTTATACTTTTTGGCTAATTAATTCTAGTGCTTATAAAGACATAATAACAAAACATGTGTTGTTATTATCGACAATTTATAGCAAAAGTAAAGTGTCAAGGCGTCGAAAGATATGTTCGCTCGCAAAAGATATGAAAAAATTTGACGCGATCTGAGGTGAAAGACATAAATATTCTTTCATTAAAAATATATGTCGGTAGTAATGTCGCTCGCGGTAAATTCAATCAATTCAATTTTGCTTTTAGTTTAAATGACGTGATAGATTTTTTCTAAACAAATGCATTTTGAAAACTCTACGCCTTTTAACACCTTTGCTGAAAACCATAGAATAACTTTGATTTTTCAATACTGCCTTCAATACTTCCTGGAAATATAATAATATCAAAAAACATGCCAAATTTTACGGCAACTTCTAGTCGCATATTTCTAATCACTGCATTAATGCAATGACATTTGAACTCATTTTTATGAAGATTTCTAAATTTATTTGTACGGAAAGCATTTTGGAAGACTTGATTGCAATTTCACCGAAACTATTTTGTTCGTTTCCTTTTTCGTTTTTTCAGTAGAATGGTCAATTTGCTGCTCAATGTTAATCCCTTGACGAACTTAATGAACGGCGGATTTATTGTCAGGTGCAAAAAGTGAAGTTTTTCTTTAAAACATTTGTAAAATAAATCAAGTTTATACAATACTTGTATATTTTTCCAACAGTTACGAACAAACAAGAATTACATCGCAAGTCTTTTCAAAAGGGCGGCAAAATAATGAATACGTTTAAAAAGCTTCCTCCCCGACTGTAAAAACTAAAGTAAAAACAAAAAAGAAATGTTTTTCCAAATTCGATTCAAGAGAAATAAAAATAAATACGTTTTGTTTTCACCTCTTAAATTTAATTAAATTAGACAGTACAGTATAAATTCGGCTGCTCAATAAGTAACAAATAACATAGTCACTGCAACGTAGCTTTGGAAACAACATTAAATACGCAAGCGGCCCTGCTGAAATGTTAAGTCGAAATAATTAAATAAAAATAATGTGAAAAAAGTGAAAAATAGGAATACGAAAATAAAAACGCCAACAACCATGAAAATAATATTGCTATCATACCTGTATATAAGAAGGAGAAATTACTAAATCACATTTAAGCTTCGGCGAGTTTAACGACTAGCAGAAAAACAAAAGAAAAAGCAAAATAATAACAATAGTAGCATTAAGCAGTAAAAATAAAAAGCAGTTAGTGTAAAATATATGGAACAGTCGTAATAATTCCAAAGCCATTAAACCATTAAGCCAATAATTTTGTGCAAGCAAGTATAGGGCTTACCGAAGTTGCCCTGTGTAATTTTTTCGGTAAAATTCTATAGTATACATATTAGGTTGAAAGGTGAATAAATAATATTCACTTTGAATAGTGAATAGATTTTAAACCGGTTTTATGAACTGTTTATTTGACATCTTCAGCAAACTGTACAATTTTCACAGAATCTATGTAAGTTTACGAAATAATAAGCAGTCATGCTATGGTCGCCTTGCGGCGAATGATCGATGCCCGCCATTAGCACCGATACCAGCCTACATAAAGAACCCACAATTACTTTTTTAAGCGCGGATCAGCTAACCATCAACGTTTTTGTATTGACCTTTTGCGTTGGCATTTTACATACATACAGCAATATTTTAGAAACCAGTATCCGTGATTGTTTTGCAGTTTCTCGTAACCTTGCTTACTGGATTGTCATGATAATTCCCGAACTGCATGCTTGCATTTGAATTGGAAACGTTTAGATCGATTTTCTCAATCAAAAAACTGACGGACGAACATCATTTAACGTATATATAATAATAATATATAGAATAGAATTAAAAGATGTCTTCCTTCAGAGTATGCTCGAGTTTAGTTAACCGTCCCCTCTGCTCTACTGTAGTTTTGGCAAGTTATCCTTCGTAAACTATGTATACTTTGACAGCATTGCAGAAATTAACTGATATTTAGGAATGGACAAAATTCTTGAGACAATTGGAGCCGGTAATACGATTCCGCTCATCAACAACGAGTATCATCCTTCTGCTTCATTTCAGTTCCCACAGAACACTATTTTAGGCCAGATAAGCCTGCAGCAACACAAATTTTAGTAGATTTCAGAGAAGTGGTAAATTGTGTTTTGAAAATTTTAATAATGCCTACATTTCGATAACTTATACAGGCCATTCTACTAAAAAAATCTTAATGCAAGGCGAACGATTATATATTTAAAGACGCAAATAAATCAATTAAGCTGAAAAATAAACGATACGTATAAAATTTGTAAATTTTCTGCTCTCTTGCCTCGCACTTTTCCGAAATAAGTAAGCAATCGTTGTGCAATGTTAAGCGAACAAGCGACGGCGTCGCAGAATGCATTGCAAGTGAAACTTATAAAGTAACAACTGCAATATTCTAAAAATTTCATTTTATTTGATTCAAGTGCGTCTGTGCTTGTTTCTATTTTTGTTTTTTGTTTTCTGAAAAGGAATATATGAATTTCTCAAGTAGATGAAAGTAGTTCATCGCAGAAGTAGACAAAAAGCAAGTTTAAAAATTTACCTCTACATCGAAAACGAAATATTTAAAGCTACAATATAAACGATGTTTTAATAAACAAAAATGAAGGGCTATTGCTCTTTAATATAAATTCCAATCCCTTATAAGCGCCTTTTATACCCATCACCGGGGGATGAGGGGTACATTCCTATTGTTCAAGCGTTCAAACACCCAGAACGAAGCTTCATAAAGTATATAAATTCTTTGCTAATTTCAAAGCCGTAATAAATTTGAACATGTCCGTCAGTTCGTCCGTTCACCTGTCCGCGTGATAGGCCTTCCATTTGCCCGACTACCAAATCATACACATTTTCTCGTTCGCAAAAAAAAGTTACCGCCTAAACATTTGGAAAAGATTTGGAAAATGGCGCAAACAAGACAAGATGTCGCACCTACAACGCCCTTACGTCTATACAACCACAACTGAGAACTTCTTTGATTTCCTTGTCTTTTCCTCGTTGCTCATAAACTACAACGGATATACGACAAAAATTCCCACCATATTATTTTACCAGAATATGACAAATCAGTCACGCACAGTCTACGTTATAGAATATGTAAATTATGTTTTTTCTTTTTTCCAATGTTTCGTAGCATAAACGTGAACGCTTTAAAAGATTCGGTCCCAAACGACTGCAACTTTCTTCTTTGTTTTAATTTAATCTCTTACATCCAATATAGCTAGTGTCTATGTAAACGGAATCAGGATTAAAAAATGACATAAACCTTAACAACCGATTATAACTTATTTTTAAAATGCACAAAATTGAAAATAAATTTCATTTGGAATAAAAAGTTTGCGCACCGCTTTCTCGAAAGGATACAAAACCACAGAAAGTATTTTAAGTGGAGGAAAACAAATTTCAAATGTTTTTTGAATAAAGATTAAAAGTTTTTGTGTACTCTTTCTCATCTCAAACAATTTTTTAAGCTTTAACGTTTTTCTACTACTGTTAAAACAGCGTATTCGTCGCATTGCAATTATCGTCACTTTTTAAATAGTTATAGTTTAAAATTCTAACGAAATTTGCTGTTTTTCCAGAATATTTTTTAAGACTTAAAAAACATTAATTTTTAATTTGTATCATGTGTTGAAAAATTAAAAAAAAAGTAAAGAAACGAAAAAAAGGAAAGAACAAGGAAGAGAAAAAGAAAAGAGTGAAAACGTGCTAAACAAGCATTATTACCTTGCCTTGCTTACATCTGTTGAATTGTTCAGATATTCATAACCTGCAACCACTGCGACTAGAATGGGAAAAGCGGAAAACAAAAAACACAAAGTATGTTAATAGAGCTATTTCAGCCAAATAATTCTGTACGCATTAGAAATTATATCAATCATCTGAGTGACTTTATACCAATATCAAATTAATTTTTCACTATAGTAAGTAAAATGTTGTGCAAATTTTCATGCTTCGCTTTTATGGCCATCATCCATTAAAACATGCTTTTATGCCAATATAGGATTTCATCTGTAATACTCAGAAAGAAACAGAAGAAGCCCTAACGTTAAGATAATAAGAGCCAAAGTCGAATATGTTACTTTTACTTTCCACTTTTGAAAATAAAAACAATTTTTTGTGATGTAGAGAAGAGATAATAGACTGATAATATTCGAAGAGTTTGTTAAGTATATCTGCTTACCAAAATATGGCAAAGCTGATCCCAATGTCGTGAGGCTCTGCGGCCTAACAAGCAATTTTGGTGCAACTTCGAATTTAAAAAAATTGTTTCCTATTTTATCAATAGCTAATGCATTACGTACAAATTTTGTAAAAATATTGTGTTACGGGTGTTTGACGGGTGTTTAAACGTTATATTTTGATAAAAAAAAGCGCGGTTTTATTAAAAAAATTAAATTAACTGCATAACATAAAGATATTATGAAAACTTCGAATGAACCAGATGACGCTGGTAGGAGATGGTACGCTGGTCGCGCCAAAAAATCCTGGTTTGAGAAAAACGCATTTAAACTTTTGCAATGCCTTATAGATATGGCTTTTTATTAGAATAAATTTTGTATTATTTTTCTCCAATAGTGTGCATTCCCGGACAATACGAAAAAATTCTTTTCCACGTTCAAATACCCCTCGTCATTCCTCTTTCACGAAAGTTCTTTCTCAAAAGTTGGCGCCTTCTTCGCAATAGATAAAGGTAACATCACACATTTTATATTTCACGTCTTGCGAAATGGTAGAAAATATAAAAAGAAAACGTACAATTTTATAAGCGAATTCGTCTGAATCTGCTTCAATTAGCTCTCACTCTCATATCCATTAGACAATAATTTTGATGAAATTTCACCGAAACATTTTTAGTTGGAAATCTTTTTGAACACTTACTAATTGCCATATTTGCTGCAGTCCCGCCAATTGAATAGAATTTTCTACTCCTCCCGACGTTGAATTTATTGTTATTCGGACAAAAATTACCAATGAACAGTTATGCGTAACTTGCTCCTAGATTCCTCCAAATGCGCATATCTCTACTTTCTGCTTCTTCCAATAAATATTATTATTTTAACAAAACAAACATTGTACTGCTTAAATCTCATCTTTCACACATTATGCTCGAATTCTCTGCTGGAGAAATTGAAACTTTACTGTTATCGTTCTGTAAGGTGCTAAATCTAATTATTTCTGCACCCGTTCTGATGAAGCAACACCGAAGCAGGTGCCCGCCATGGGTTAACAAGAGAATTAAATATGACAAAAATAAGAAAAACAAATTTTTCAAAAAATTTATGAAAAGTGGTTCTGCTTACGATTATTTCGATTTAATTACTTCAACCGCTAATATTATTGCAGTTGATGAAATCCTCATTGCTTGTTAATCGTAACCGTTGATGATATTGAAACATCGAATCTCTTTGCTGAATACTTCCGAGGATATTTGTCAACTGCTAATTCCGATTTACCGTATTCGATAGCTAACTCCGCTTCGGTTCCTAACTTGGTTATTTCAGAAAATGACGTTTCGGATGATTTCAGGTCTGCAAGATGTAGTTGTGTGTTCGGACCTGATTCGATTTCATCATGTACACTTAAACCATGCTTGATAAGTTCTTATCTGCATAACAGATCATTCAGGGTTCTGTTTCAATTCATAACCTCGGATGAATTTCCCGTGACAGCTAGCATCCCTCCATCATAACGTTGGATAATTTTCCTGTAACAGCTAGCATCCCTCAAGGCCCCCTTTTATTGAATTTATACATTATTATCTCCCGATGGTGATTAAATCTAACCAGATCTTAATGTACGCTGACGATGTTATACTGTCTACTTCCTCCCCCTTGGAATCGGAATCGTGTTAGTTTCACATTGACTTAAATAATTTGGTTACATGGTGCTCGTTAAATTTTATGAAATTAATTCTACAAAAATGCAAGAAGTTTTCTTTCTCATGATGCAAACCGAGCAAACTGAGTATTTCATTGATTCACACACTTTTTGTTCATTAAGCCGTATCACTGTAAATATAATTATGAGCTTTTTAACCCGTTTAGAGGTGTTCGCAAAAACCTAATTGTACCGTAAGGGGACTAAGTACCGTTAGGGGACGGGGGACTAAATACCGTAAGGGGAGGGGGGGCTAAGTACCGTAAGCACCGATCTTACCTACATATGATGTGGTAGAGTACACAAAAATCGGTGAAATTCTATTTAAGATTCATTTGTTCCGAATGATTATAAATTGTTATTTCTATCCAGTAAATTAAATTAGTAACATGTATATGTATACTGATAAGTACATGCAATGCATACGAAGACGTATCTTTTCTTTTTGCTCAAAAAGCTATAAAGATACATAACCGTCCGTCACTACATGGGCTTGAACATCGTGCGCTATGTTACAGTACACAAAGCGCTGTTCAACGTTATTCATTGTTCTACTTGAAGTCAGTTAAATTATTTAGAATCATTTGGTTAAATATGAGTAACAACAAAAGCAGCTAACACACGAAGGGTAAGAAAAATCAAAAATATATGCTTTTTAGGTATAAGAGCTTATTTGGGTGTTCTTACGTAAGAGACATGTTAAATCACTTAAAGTTCTTGATGCCATATTTTCATTGTGGACCTGCGCGCTTTTGTTCTTAAAATTATTTGTGACCCAAACAGGAATTCACATTTATTGCACATATAAAGGCATAAACAAACACACAAATATCTGCAGTAAATATACGACGCAAAGAGACTTATCGAAAATTGCATAATAAACCCCCAAGTGCGTAATTAAAGAGTTTATAGAAGAACCACTACTCATTTCTATTTAAATGGCGTTAAAAACATTTGTTACCTCAAGAGTCTTCGCAGCTAAGAGAACCTTGTTGTAATTGTAGCGCTGTAAAAGCCTCTTCAAGAGAAAAATGTAAATGGTTTTATAGTCGCTTTAAAGCATGGATTCAACTCTTATGTTCGTGAAATGCTAAATATTGCACTAAGTCGTATTCGTTTTTGTGTGCGCATGTGTATATCTAAGCAGATAACTATTATGTACAATAGACTGATTTTCTGTTAAGTTCATTGCTTCCGTCATTTCGTATTGATTACTTTTTTATTGCCTTTGTCATGTTGTATTTGCTAGCAGCGATCCTTTTCCGTGCTTTATCTGCAATGGAATAAGTAAACGACAATTTCTTTATATTAATTTTTTCTTCGTTTATAATAACTAAGGCGAGTGCAGCAAATCATGAAGGCAACGATAACGGTTCTCCTCCCATCCGATTACCACACCCTTTGCAATTGGAAGAAAAGAAATTTCTTCTAGCAGTAGAACGTGGAGACATAGGAAATGTACGTAGGTATGTATAACTAATGGTTGCGCCACTCACCTAGGAGCCACTTTTTTACACAACCTTTTGATTACTGCCATTTATAAAAACATGTACGCATACTTTATTCGTTTGTGGTCGGCATTAGGAAAGAGAGATATGAGAAGGGTTACAACTTTCTTTGTTGAAAGCCTTCCCTTACAATATACATGTATTATTGCATTTAGCATTTGTCAATGTATTTAGCACTTCGTTTTGTAGTACTACTGACATGTGAAAGCATTCGTTGAAAGTAATTATTGATTAGCAAGTCCTGTCCATTTAGGGGTGAAAATATATAATACATAAATGTTTGACACAAGGAAAATATATCAGAGAGGTACTGACTGTTCGCATCGAAATGCGAAAGAACGAGAAATTAACACGAAATTCTGAATTAATTTTGTCGCCTCTGAACGGTTGCTTTACTAGCTGGCTTCCTGCGTATTTAATAACAAGCGGTAATGGGTATAGTTTTTCTTTTTCTTACGAAATTATCAGTTAGAGGAAGTTTTTTCCCAAGGCACAATGAAGCTTTGACTGAGGGTGAAAATTGATGTTTCAAATTGGAAAACATTGTTGAGCATATTCAAAATGTCTTTACATACAAACCCGCGAACAAATATAGTACACCGCTTGTGGTATGATATACATTAAATTTACGCGGACGTATGTAATGCGCGCAAGCACTGGTAGTAGACCCATTTTGTTTTATACTGATTCAGAATCACTTTCAGAGTTTGTTTGTCGTCTGATGTTTGTCCATATAATAATGTGTTCAACTTACATCTTGCGCTATTTGGATTTTTACCAAATATGGTATACTAGGGTGCTTTTGTCCTAGGTCGAACTCTGTTCAAAATGGCTCCGATTGAACTACTTTTTCAACCACTTACTGCAATAATTGAAGTGTTAGAAATTTAATGCCCAGCCATGGTCAACTGTAATGGATATACCCTACACCATTTAAGGCATAGAGTACATTAAGATTGTGAAGATGTATGTGACGGGCTTAAGGTGGATGCACTTTTTATTGTACCGATGCTATCAGACAATGATTGTAAACTCGTTTGCACGTCTGATTTTTGAGATATTTCGATGAAACTTAGCACACTGAGGTGCTCTGGCTTAAGGACTAATGCTTTTGAAAATGATTGGGATTGGTCGACTTTTATGACCACCCCCCTATAACACCCCCTATTCGGAAAAGTCGTTATGCGGAGAAAAAACGTTCAAAAGTCCCTGAGCAATAATATTTTGGCATTCTAAATTCATGTGAAAGCTTTCGATCGGCTAAGACAATTTTTTGGATCTCCTCTCTCCGCTTTTACGAAAACTGAATTTTTACATGGAAGGTTTAATTTTCAATATTTCCTGGTGAAATTGGGTTCATAATCGTAAATTGACAAATCAACCTTAACAAATCTGGACTAAGCAGATCTATTTTTTGACGATTCTCACAAAATGCATATGTCAAAAAGGCTTATTTGCTAATGTTTTATTATGAAAATTTGCTACTGATAGTAATTTGACACAGAAATTAATTAGACCGAATTTGCACCGTATTGGTCTATTTGTTTGACCCCACTCTAAATAAGATTTCTCATGAATACCAAGCCTTTCAGAAAAAACTTTAATTTTTAATATTTTGTGATGAAAATTAGCGCATAGTAAAGATTGAACAAAAAAATTAACGATTTGGAATTTGGTTTATATAGGTCTGTTTCTTAGGCCCCATCATACATAGGGGGCTGAAAATTTGTAGCAAAATTTAGAGTATTAAGCTATTGTGGGGAAATTTGTGTTGTCACTGGCCCATACAAAAAAAAATCGTTCAGCATGCCCCGGCTTATAAGTCTATGAATTCTCAAGTATCAACAATTTCATGATTCCTTTATTTTCACTTTATTAGGCCTTAATTTGCTTGGCTTCAGTCGTGCATCATTTAAAAATATTATTTTATGCCTAAATGATTACCGAAAGGAACATTCCATATTCTGTCTAAGCACATTGAAAAGCCAAGAAAAAGCCGGGTGTCCAAGGTAGTTACAAACATAAGCGCATGTTACGGATAAACATATCAATGAAACGTAATACCACTACTACAAATGTTTGGCAAACTATGTATATCTTTTTTAACGGTTGCTAAGGTAATAATCAAAATACTGTGTACATATCAAAGAAATATTTTTACACTAGAAAAAATGCAGAATTCTAATTAAAAGTTCTCAAATTAGCGTCGATGTCAAAAACTTTATCAAACCAAGGAAAATTACTGAATACTGTTGCGAGGAGTTGAGTTAAAAGTTTTTTTTGAATGTAGAAGTACGCGGAATATTTATTATTTTAGATTTGTATCGATCGAGTATGTATTTATAGTCATGATCGAAGGATGAGGGGTGTATTCCATTTTGTCAAATTTTCTAAAACGCTCAGAAGCGATCTTCAAAGACCGCAGAGAGTATATATTTTCCCAATTAACATCAAATTTCGTGTAATGTCCGTTATAAACATTCTCATGGCCACAGAAATGTGGGTATTGACTTTAAATTTCGCAGAGACATCGGAGGTATTGAAAATGAGCCAAATCAGCTGAAGGCCACGCTTACCGCGCGAAATATACTGAAGACGACTTTTTTTTTTAAAGAAATAAAAAAGGGGCTTTTTGCTACAAAAATCTGACCATATAATCTATGGGCGTTGCTGTAGCACCTCTACAAAAAATCGGCCATGTTTACCTAATTTTATTGTGTGCCATAATTTCACTTTTTTTTTCAACACTTTTATAACGCACAGAAGGAAGTTTAAAAAATCCTACAAAGTATATAAATTCTTGACCAGTTTCAAATTCAGAATGCGCCTAATCATGTCTATGCATTCAGTTGTCCATCTGTCCGTTTGCGCACCTATGTAGTATCTGCAGTAAACATTTTCCCGCTCGCGAAAACGAAGACATCGCTTATAAACTTGCAAAAGAGTTTTAAACTGACGCAAGCTTTTCAGAAAACATCCCTACAACACCCACACCTCTATACAACAAAAACTATTAACACCATTGTTTTTCGTGTTTCTTGTTTGTACATAAAGTACAACACGTAGCCTTTATAAATTTCCACTTTTATTCTAACAACAGAAAAAATAAACTCCACTCAACATTATAGAGTATGAAATTTTAGTTTATTTCCTTTTTTTTAAGATCACATTGGTGGATGTGGTTACCAACGAATTTTCTTACTTGTTCGTTAGTTAAATTAGGAAGAAGTTTATCCTATTTTAGGGAGTTTCGGTTGTTTTTCGCTATATACACACCTGGACTGTTTCCATGCACATTGTTAATGAAATAGCTTGTCGATAACTTATTGGGAAAATCGACAACACTGATGAACAAAGGCAAAGTCTTGAATTGTTTCTATCAAATTTTCCTTTAAACATTTTTTCATTTAAATTTTGAAGAATACTTCAAAAATCCAACCGGTACAATCATATCAATATCAACTGTATGGACGCATTGGGCAGACGCGCCTTAACTTTGGCCATAGACAATGAGAATTTAGAAATGGTTGAGCTTTTGGTTATAATGGGCGTAGACACCAAGGACGCTTTATTGCATGCCATTAACGCTGAGTTCGTTGAAGCCGTTGAATTGTTGCTCGAGCATGAGGAATTAATCTACAAGGAGGGCGAACTCTATGTAAGTATGTGTAAAATCCTAAGCAATATTGAATGCATCTGCTATCCATAATTTTTAGCAATTAATTATACACAACTAAACGACAAATTAAACAAACTAGAGTTGTTCTCTCCTCCAACCGCATGAACATTGAGTTATTCAATTACTCAAAGATGAAAAATTAAAAATTGAAAGTTATACATATTACCAATTTAAACGATTATTGTACGTGTAGCCGAGTAGATGAGAATCAGGACAAGCAAGTGAGTGAACGCGTATTCAAACTTTACCCGCAGCTATAATGATTGATCATTCGGTAAAGACATAAACACATTAGGACGCATTTTTCTGGGCGTCACCGTGTTACACACCCCTCAACCCCTCGATGATTGATATATCAAAAAATAATTGAATAATAAAGAGATTGATAAAGTTAGAATGTATTTCATTGACCTAAAAAAATATCAAGCAAATTTTAATGCGTTATGTTATATTAGTTGCCATGAGTTGAAGTTTCGCAGGAATATATAGGAATTACCAATGAATTCTCCACAAGCCTGGTTTGATGGCCTGATTAAGATACACCGCCGAAAATATCGCCACATAAAAACACCACTCTTCCAAAAGCGTCTGCTCGCTTCCATATTTTCTTGTTTGTAGACTTTCTTTTGCGCAATTAATTTGTTTCATTTTAAATCTAACGATTTCTTTATAAAGAGACTTAATAATAACAAGTAATATACATTGTTACTTATAACTTTACTTGCAAGTTTTTGCTTTATAAAAAAGGAATTATGAAAGCAAATCGGGCATTAGAACAGTCTGACTAATGCAAAATTTACTTTTCTGTTTACGTAAATGATTGGTGTTCGCCTGAACAGTTTATTAGGCACGCTTAACATACTTTCCCGTACATGTTCTGTGTACTCCACAGCATCCACAGCAGGCTTTTAATATTACATAAAGTTTCTGTTGATAAGAAAAAAGAAAAGTGATGGAAGTGAATCTTTAATGTTTGCACGTTCTCGCCTATATATTAAGATATATTTACCTATTTATGTAATCGTTTCAGAGTTGGCAAAAGGTTGACATAAATACAGCTACGTTTCCACCGGATATAACACCGCTAATTCTGGCAGCCCATAAGAACAACTACGAAATTTTGAAAATACTTTTAGATCGAGGAGCAGCCGTCCCTGTACCTCATGATATCAAGTAAGAATATTGTTGACTTATAATAGATATAACGGCTGCAAGTATTAATTTTGAATATTGTCCCTCTTAAACCAATATATCAAAACCACAAAATATTTTGGGAAACTGTTGGTGATATCTATTACCCAGTCCATTAGGCCAACCACTTTGGCTTTCCAACCAAGTGACTTGTAGTTTCTCTAGATGTGTTTAGGTGATCCCTGAATTATATTGAGCAACTGTAGGTTGGCATAGGACAAATACATATATTATAAATCAAACGATTATTTTCCAATTTAATTTGGATTTACAGGAAAAAGTAGCCCGCTTGCATTGCAGAGCTCTATCAAAACATTACAGAGTGCTTTCCTTTAAACTTTTGGTCTAAAACGACGAAGATATTCTGTATTATTGTTAATAAGTATTGTGGTGCGTTAAGCGTTTAGTAGAATAGGGGAAATACTTTTCAATTAAATCTTTTCTTTTGATCCTTTGTAAGCGAAAACGAAAAAAAAAAGTTGATTGCAAAAAGAAAAGACACGGCAGTGCTTAATATGAAATGTTGAGTTGATATCTTGTATTAATAAATTGAAGAAAAAGAGAAAAAGAAACGGATGAGAGGAGTATAAAATTTTGTCTCGTGTTAATTAAATAAGGAAAAAAAGATTAACTTTAAGAAAACTGGTGACAAAAGATAACTCTTGGTCTAGATCAGGAATCTGCAATAGCAGCCATCAAGAAGGACACAAAGAAGATAAAAACAAAACAAAATATTTGATGTATTGCTCTTTATATTTTCTGTGACAGCACTTTGCAAAATGCAAAGATTGACACGTCATCAGAGAATAATACACGCGCATGGGTCGCTGTCAGCCAAATGTTTAAAGATAATTTAGAAAGAAGTAAGCAGTAAGTCGACAACTGATAATATAGTTACTGCTGCGACGAAAACCCCAATACTGTTTCTTGTACAATGTACAGGATAGCAGTGTTGACTCGAGCTTACCTTAATTGATATTATAAAGAAAAATAAAGAAGAGTACACTAAAAAATACCACGAAATAAAAGAAAGGGAAGCTCATGGTTACGTTGCCTTAATTCGGTTCACTAGTAAGCCACTACATTATGTAATGTGTGCTATGTACGTTTACCCGTTAAAGGTACATTCTATCCTCACCTTCATCTAGTTCAACAAAACTATCGAAAACTAATTATATTATGTAATAAATGTTTTGTTAATGGTATACAACAAATTTCACTATAAGAATATGTCATTATGTATTTACATGTTCACAAGCATTCACTGTAACAACTTCTCGGCCCAATTGTAGACAAGCTCCGAAAGCGAAGGCTTGCCCCCATCCATTAATTCATCGAATTGCTTATCGTCCCCTGCTTAGTTGATATCAGCAATGAATACATGAATGTTATATCCGTAAAGTTATTTTAAATAAAAAAAGCAATCCAAATTTAAGTTGAAAGCGTAGTGTTAAACTCGTATTCACTATAAATTGATAGGAAATTTGGACTAACAATATTAATGTTTTTCTTCTTATGACAGCGCTGTTAACAATTCACATAGATATGACAAATACAGACTTAATGCCCGATCGTCATATACCTTGACTGATCCTTTTCCTTTCCTGCTATCACTGTTGTTTTCCTTTTTTTCCTTGCATGAGCATAAGCAAAAACAACAGCCAATGTTGAACAAGGGATCGTCCGCTATGCAATTGAAGCACGAAGGCCTTCTGATTGCACATTTGCTTTATCGGTCAATGCACTTTCAATGTCGTAAAATGCTAACAGAAAACAAAAAAAAAAAAAAACATGATCCGTCGCTGACTATGTAGGCGCTATGAAATCCATGTACATTACCGGAAGTGCTATTATATGGTACGCTAGATATCCAAATTTCAAAATTCAAAAAGATCTGACGAGACAGTGATAACATCTAATAAAACAAAAATGATTGAATTCGTGTAACTAGTACTGTACAAAGAGGTTAGTGTGATTTCGCGATTATAAATTTCCACAAATTTGCAAATGAAACGAAATATTCAACGTTGTTGTAAAAGTTGATGAATGCCTCTTCTACTCGTAATTGGAAAACCATCTCCTGCATCTGCATCTCTTAGTTCTGCGTATTTTATAATAAACAAGTGGTACTTTCTAGAGTCATTTACAATATATTTCATTGGGTAAACATTGTATGCAAAAAACTCTTGAAATGAGCTAAAGGTGGATCAGATACTAAATCTTGAGCATTCCCGTTCGCCTCTCAACTCGTTATATCTTTTTCTTTACAATTCTAGTACAAGAATCGCTTCAAAACATATCTGCAAAGTGCTTTTATTAGATATCGAATTATATGATATGTTTTACGTGTAACTTTCTGTTTTTACTATCACATTGGACCACATGAAATGAGTTGATTTCCGACCAACTTATTTCATTATTATTAATTTACGAAACTATTGAATGATTCAACACATGTTCGAGCATATCGTTTTTTGTAGATGCGGATGTGATGAATGCGTCCGCATGTCTTCTGAGGATTCTTTGCGACACTCATTATCGCGAGTGAATACTTACAAAGCTTTATCCAGTCCTTCACTAATATGTTTAACTTCAAATGACCCAATTTTGACGGCTTTTGAACTGTCATGGGAACTACGAAATTTAGCTTTTACGGAACAGGTAAAATATGTATACAAATGTACATAAATAAGTATTCAAAATAAATACTAAAATTATCTTTTGTGCTCTATCTTCTCTTCTCTTGTTTTTAAATGAAAAGGAATGCAAATCCGAATATATGGAATTACGTAGACAATGCCAAAAATTTGCTGTGGACTTATTAGATCAGACGCGAACTTCAAACGAACTGGCTGTTATTTTAAATTACGATCCAGAGATGTCCACCTATAAGCCAGGCGATCGCATGTCTCTGCGTCGTTTAACTGAAGCCATAAACTATAAACAAAAAAAGGTAACGGAAACATCGTACGGCAGACAATAAAGCGAATTAACTAAACTTTTTCTTTAACTTTGTTAAGTTTGTAGCGCATTCGAATATTCAGCAGTTATTAGCTGCTATTTGGTATGAAGGATTGCCGGGTTTTCGCCGTAAGACGCTCATGGAAAAATTTTTGTGCATAGTTGAGGTAGCAGTTCTGTTTCCAATATATTGTTTGATATATATGGCAGCGCCAAATTGCAAGACAGCGGTCTTACTGCGAAAGCCGTTTATGAAGTTTCTAATACATGCCTCATCATATTTATTCTTTTTATGTAAGTAGTTGGATTAAAAGAACACTTTCAGCAAGAAATGGGTCATAATTAATATAGGAATGATTAAATTGCTCCTCATTTTGTAGTCATCTTAATTTTGGTTTCCCAACGAGCGGACGATAATGTCATACGTATATTTGGCACGGAACGTATGAAGCAAGAGTTGTCCGAAGAACAATTGCGTCAACGTGGCAGAGGACCAACCAAATTAGAAATTTTGGTTGTATTTTATTTATTCGGATTTATATGGGAAGAAGTACAAGAAATCTTCACTGTAGGCATTCATACCTACTTACGCAACATGTGGAATTTCATTGACTTCCTCAGAAATAGCTTATATGTTAGCGTGATTTGTCTAAGGTAAGGCGACAACACACTGTGAAATCCACAAAACGTACATACTTTAATTGTTATATCCTTTCGCGTTTAGACTCTTCGCCTATATGCAGCAATCCAGCGAAATAGCACGTGATCCGGCAATGGCTTACGTCCCACGCGAAAAATGGAATGATTTCGACCCGCAACTTATAGCAGAAGGCTTATTTGCTGCTGCCAATGTTTTTTCAGCCTTAAAATTGGTTCATTTGTTTTCGATAAACCCCCATTTAGGTCCTCTGCAAATTTCACTGGGCCGCATGGTTATTGATATTGTGAAATTCTTTTTCATTTATTCACTGGTTCTGTTCGCATTTGCTTGCGGCCTTAATCAATTGCTCTGGTATTTCGCTGACTTGGAGAAAAGTAAATGCTACGTATTGCCTGATGGGGAGGCTGACTGGACTGGTCATGCCGACTCTTGCATGAAATGGCGTAGGTTTGGCAAGTGAGTGGTAGTCGAAGTTTTGGCATCCATTTATAGCTTATAAGAAACACATCGTATGTACGTATATTGGTTATTTTAAACCACATTGCGACTTAGCAGCACCTCATAGGCAAGACAAGGTTACGCTTTTCTTGTCACTATATCCATAGACCGTTTCAGCCGACTTTTCAAACTAATTAAAAAGTTTGATAATCTAATTCGGGAATAAGTCGCCCTTTTTATAATATTATAATAAGAATTCTTTATATTAGTTTGGGGAAAAAGAAATCCATTATTTTTTCGGTAGATGGCTGCACTGATAGATTTCTCGTAAAGTATCGATTAAACAATTTCATATTTATGCTCGTTGGAAAGGTGACATTTCGCAGTAAAAAAAATTCTTTTGCTGTCTTTTGTTTGGTGCATTCAGTTGTGAGTTATAGCGTGTTAAAAATGGAAGTGAACAAAGAGAAAATTCGGTACATTTTACAGTTTTTCTTTGACAAAGGCGAAAATGCAAGCCAGGCGGCTAAGATTGTGAATGGTGTTTATGGTTCCGATACTGTAACAGCCAATTATGTGCAATTTTGGTTTCGTAGATTCCGTTCAGGAATTTTTGATGTTAAAGATGCACCTCGCACAGATAGGCCGGTCGTCGAAAATGTCGATAAAATCGGAGAAATGATCGAAGTTGACCGGCATGTTAGCCCAGGAGCTAAAAATCGACCATAAAACAGTTTTAAACCATTTACAAAGTTTTAAACCATTTACATACACAAAGCTGGATTCAAAAAGAAGCTCGATGTTTGGGTGCTACACCAATTAACAGAAAAAAACATGATGGATCGAATTTCCATCTGCGAAGCCTTGGCCAAACGGAATGAGATAGACCC